AAGTCGAAGATGTGTATCTGCCGGACGGTGGGGGGGGAGGGTGCGGTGGGAGGTGACCTAGGAAGCGGAGGAATAAGGATGAGAGGAGAAGGAGAGAGAAGAGATATAAGGAGAGAGAAGAGAGACATAAAGAGACAGAGATGCAGAGAGAGACAGAGAGAGAGAGAGAGAGAGAGAACGAAAAGAAAGAGAGAGGGAGAAGAGAGAAAGAGATTGAGATAGTGGGGAGTCTGTCTGTGTGTGCGTGCGTGCGTGCGTGCGTGCGTGCGTGCGTGCGTGCGAGATTGAGATAGGGGAAGTCTGTTTGTCTGTGTGTGTGTGCGTGCGTGCGTGCGTGCGTGCGTGCATGCGTGCGTGTCTGCATCTGTATGTGCCTGTAAATGCTTCAGAACAGCTTGGCTACACGCGTCTAGACACATCTGCTGCTGTCGACATTTTAATCCAATTTCGGCTGATTCAAACGCGAAGAATGCATTCGACCTAAAAAACTTAAATCTTAATCAATTGAACCGTAGGCCCCCAGCTCACAGGGGCGGGGGAGGAAGGGCCCCGCAGGGGGCACGGAAGGAAGGGCCCCGCAGGCGGGCGTGGGAAGAAGGGCCCCGCTATGAGGGTACTCGCGGAGAACGCCTGTGCTCTCTCTAGAAAGCGCCACGTCGCCCGCGCTCCCGCTAGAGGGCGCAACATCGCCTGCAGTAGAACCGCACGCAGGTCGGGGCGGGAAGGGGGCTGAGAGCGGGCCAGGGAGAGGGTGGGGCTGAGAGTGGGCCAGGGAGAGGGTGGGGCTGAGAGCGGGCCAGGGGGAGGGGGCTGAGAGCGGGCCAGGGGGAGGGGGCTGAGAGCGGGCCAGTCCGCACACGTGGCGGCAGGGGAGGGGAGGTTGCGATCGAGTGAGGGGGAGCTACTGTCAGGAGTAGTACATACCTGGCTGGTCGGTGGGGACGCTCGTGTTGCTATGGTGTGCTTCGCAGAGGCCGCGCGCGGCCGCGCTCATGTCTAGATGCAAGCGCGGAGGATGCTGCGAGGCGTGATCTACATGCGCGGTGCCATGAAACAAACGCAAATAAAGTGTAAGAGGCAACACGTAAACTGGGTAGCGGGCAAGGGTGGGGCGGGAGTGGAGGGTGGGGCAGGGCGATCGTGGGGCGGGTGTGGATGGGTGGGGCGGTGGTGGTGGGGGTTGGTGTGTGGAGGGTCTGTAGAGAGTAAGAGGTAACAGTACGGGTAATAACAAAAGTAAAAATAAAGTGTAAGCGGTAACACGGAAACTGATAGCGGACGGGCGGGCCGGGGTGGTGGTGGATGGGTGGGGTGGGGTGGGGGTGGACGCAAGCAGACGTTATACGGGTATCAAGCGATGAGCTGGAGTTGTTAGCATCTCAAATAGTCATCGTGACTTACTGCTAACTATTGGTGGCAGAACATAAGCGATAATGAGCCTCTGGTGTGTGTGTGTGTGTGCGTGCGTGCGTGCGTGCGTGCNAGTGTGAAGCTGTGGACTTAATGTAGATAGAGTGTGAAGCTGTGGACTTAATGTAGATAGAGTGTGAAGCTGTGGACTTAATGTAGATATAGTGTGAAGCTGTGGACTTAATGTAGATAGAGTGTGAAGCTGTGGACTTAATGTAGATATAGTGTGAAGCTGTAGACTTAATGTAGATAGAGTGTGAAGCTGTCCACTTAATGTAGATAAGTGTGAAGCTGTAGAC